GGAATCGCGAAGAAGACCGAGTTATGAATAAATGGGATGTTTAGAGCCTGTGCCAACAGTGGACCGCAAGGTATCATGTCGTCCACAACCATCATATCAAAATTCTCGCCACGCAGTCGTCCCATCGTTGCTGCACCCCCCAACAAATCGTCGCATTCTTGAAGCCACATGTCCACAACGTTCAACCTGCCCGCCAGGTTCGCTGAATTAAAGAAGGGTCCCCAGAAGGAATTATGACGTCCTCGGACAACCACCCTGCCTATGTTGTCCACGATCTCGTTTCTGTGCTGTTTGGTGTAGCTGGAGTTGAAGACAACGAAGGAGAATAAGTCGGCGTCCTTCTGCCAGCTACTGTTGGAGTTAGAGCTACTGACGAGGGAGACAACGCGGTGACCCTGTCGCACCAGGGCCCTGCCCGATTTGCATATGGATATGTAGTGGCTTTGGCCAGTGATAGAAGCAAAATACAGAAATTTGTACTTTTTCGCGGCATAAGCATCCCGTCCTTCGTCGGTTGTCAAAACAGGTGACAGGAGTGAGGACGACAAGACGAAGGTCACCAGCAACAGAGTGGGCAGCGTTGCTGGCATCGTTATTTCCATCAGACTGTGAACTTTGGAAGAAAATATTTGAGAAAATTTCAAAGACTGCAATCCGTGTATACAAATCAATGAAGAATTCAGTAGATGACCCGTCGGTTTGTTGGGTGAACCTGTTTAGTAACTGAGTTTGCAATACGCTAACTTGAAGAGAAGAAAGATATTAACTGGAATGCTCATGTTTCAGAGTTCATTCTTGAATTACCTTCGGATGGCAGAGAATCATAGGCTTCGATATTCGGGAACAAACCCTTCCTGCACACACGTAAGTAAACACACACGCACGTGCGCATAACAGGACGGGCTTTCATCAGCAGACCATACCCTGCCAGCTTACACGACTACCACTGTCTCAAACAGGCTAATCTTGATTTCAAGACGTTAGTGCTTGATAGCGGACACCGTGCATAGTGCGCCTCCTAACGACTCATAATGAGACTCTGCGCCAGCTAGCTCGCAGTGAGAGTAAGTAAAAACTAGTTGTGCGAGGGCGCTCTTCAGCAGAAATAAAACAACTATCGATCACCGACGTCTTGGGCCACGACTAAAAATAGGCAGGCTTTTATACGGGTAGAAATCGATGAACTGCAGTTTTGTTTGGCCTGATGGCTAAGGTTCGTGGGATGACACGCACAATTAACAAGGGGAAATCACTGTATCTGTTCTCTACCCTGATCTGATGGTTTGACTGTCCCTTTTCCAATCAGGAGCCCACGTATAGCTCCCAATCACTCCACTGTTTCTCACTGTAAGCAAAATAAACTTTGTCCAAGCATCTGGACAGCCTGGATGCACAACTTTTAACACCTTCCCATAATCATGGCTTTCGACTGCTGCAAGTACTACCAAGTATCAAACCATCAAATCTGTTCAAAATTCGAGTACAGAGACACTGCAGATTCTTCTACATGGACAAAAAACCTTCCAAGATTGAGAAAATGTCTAAAAATGGGCTTTTTGATGTGTGACCCTTGTGCTGGTGCTTAATTAAAAAGACGGGCGTGAATTGTAGCCCTTTTTTGTTGAGTTTTACCACTCTTAATACTGCCGTATCATTTACATAGTGCAACATTATTCTCTGCCACACACAATGTGAATGAAGTAGTGGTCTTATGAAAGCTAGGATTAGGACGGAAAACTGACGGAATATCGACACTTCCTGGAATTAAACAGTAATTTGGAGTAAATTTGCAACGACGCTTGGGCTGATAGACACTGCTGTTCTTACCTTAGAGAGAGTTGAACCGTCACGGTGCCCTTCGTTTGTATGGCTTTCTTTGGCAAGACCCGAGTCAGCTTAGAATCCAGAAGTGCACCGCGAAACGGTTTTCAGGTTAGCGTCAGGGTTGTCACCTAGCTTTGCGAGATAATATGAGTTTGTAGGACAACTTTTTTTTCTTAATAAAGCTCGCTTATCAACAGAAGGGCTCCAACAAAGTTCTGATATCGACTGTTGTGCAGAAAGTCAACACTGGTTTTATTCAAGAACGTTTATAAAGTTCAACAGAAGATCAGCACGTATGCAGGTGGACTTTTCAACTACGCATGTCCGATTCTGAGGCTCATTTGCAAATGTAATGACGCTATCGATTTCATGCTCGCAAGCAGTTGTTGATTTCAGGAGATTATACGCCTTTTGACACTTTTTATGAGACTACAATTCAAGACAAATATTATTTTTATGGCTGGGTTAGGCCAATTCCTCACGCATATCGTAGAATACGGGGGGGGTCGGAAAGGAATTTACCCCAAAACAGCTCATTATAATATTTAAGCTTCTCCCCTGCTGCGCCATGTTTCTCAGAAAATAAAAAGTGAAAACCTGGGGGGCTCCCAAACGACCCTCCCCTTGGGTGCACCTCTGTCGCAAGGAGACACAGGCCTTCAGTACATAGCACGGGGTTGCTGCACGAGCATGCCCGAATCCCCCCCCAAAGAAAATGTTAAATAGTAATATTTCTTTGGTGAAATGTTACAAATAGTACCTGTGCCAAATTTAAAAGCATTTCACGGAAAAAGTTTATGTTTCACGAACAAACGTGAAAACTATGCCCAATATACTGTTTTTTACCGAAAATGAGCAAAAATAGGATTTGCTCCCTCTTGCGGTGGCTTTTGGAGCAGCTTGACGCTGTGGCAACTGGCAACTTTAGAAATGACCAAGAACACACATTCTCACGTTGCCACGAGAAAGTGAGAACGGACCTGTGGTTCTGGTAAAGATAGGATTTCTGGCCCACGGTCTACATGCACCGCATGTGATCGTAAAAGAAGGGTTCCATACATACAATGCCATGTGGCCCACGTACATGTACGCGTCCATGCACACGTTCATGGCCGATAGGTTATCTCTGAAGTACATGTACATATGTATTGTGAAAATCTCGCGCTGCCCTGCCAGTCCAGTGCTGGATCGATGTTTTGCATATATACCAGCGTTGTAGTCGAGCACTTTTCGAGTGCCAAAGGTTCTCTGCCAAATGTTGAACTGGGTAAAAGGGAATAAAGCTGGAGTATTCATAGGCATTTGATGGTACGCACGAAGGTAAAATTACAAACGAAATGGAAGACTTCAGAAGCTGCTGGTTTGGTATAATTGAAGTCTCAAGGAGAACAATACAAGCACTCGGCCGATTACTTTTCGAGTACTTTGTCCCAGAATCTTACTTCTTTTATGAAACACAAATGGCCAGAGGTCATCGTTTTACTTTGTAATCTTACCTTTGTGAATGGTACCCAAATGTCCATGTTCTTCAGCTTTGTTCCCTGCTAGTTAAATATCTGGCAGAGAACTTGGTGCTCGAAAAGTGTACTTGACTACAACACTGGTATACACGTTTGCATGCTGTAGGCTACAGACGGTGTCTGAACTAACTCATCATCGAACAAAATATCCAGAGACATGTAGGCGGAATGGGAAGTATTGTTAAGTAGATCACGGTCTTTAATATCAAGTATTTCGTTGACCTGCAAACACTTCTAAAAGTCAGATATTGAAAGTAAAAAGGGAAAACAGATCGATCAAAAATGAAAGCATTACCCTAACAACCACTTTGTGGCCAAATTCGGGTTTCCGTTTAACCTTCTATTCTATTATTTTCATGAGTGCAAAATCTTTAAAGGAAGAAGACTCATCCGAGGTTTACGAGGGTACAGTAAACAGCCACAACCAGGTCTTTAAAATAATACATTTTGCTTGAATATCGAATGCGTGATGTTAGTTTCACGTACGTACTAGATAGTTTTCACTGAAACTAAAGGCGCCTTTCCATATGCACGTTTTTGGTGCGTTTCACTTTCACAGACACAAAAAATTGACGCCATTAATTAAATAACACACGTGTGCGTTGGGTTCGGCCGTCAAAATCGCCCCGGGAACGATTCTGACGGATACACAACGCTTGGCGCAAGTGCTGACGCGTATACGGAAAGGCGCCTGAACACAAACCTAGAAGTACACTGTGTTACAGATTTCAATCGTGCATCATGACTTTGACCCTAATCACTCGTCACTTTGTGAGGTAACTATTCTTTGAGCCAGCTTGCTCGTAACTGCGAGAGTGTCTATAATTAGCTGTGTTTAACAGTAATTAAGTTTCCGATTTCACATACCATTTTCAGACATAACAGGGGCAACGGTTATAATGTGGACTCTCGGACTGAAAGTCAACACTGACTTGTTCAAGTACATTTACAAATCTCAACAGACGATGAATTACGCGCTAAGTTTATATGACTTTCATGACCTTATGTCTAATGATTAGATAATAATACATAACGGCTGTAAACTTCTTGCTAGAGTAACCTGGAATGAACATCGAAAGAGTTCGAGGGCCTGACGTTTCGGTCTGCGCAGAATCTAAGCCAAAATGGCAAATGGGCAGAGCCTACAGTCAAGAACTAGAGAAGGACGTCTGTGTTTCACGAAGCAGTGGTCAGTGTGTCCCCAGACAATTAGTGTTGATCATTTGGTGAACAGAGACGTGTGTCTTCAAATAGTGAATACTCAACACTACAAATTAATTAAAAGCACTTGAGAAACATTTACGCAAGCGTGACTTTTACGAGCGCTCGGTCCTGGATTTTTTACAAGTTTTTCACGCTCAAGCAAGCGCAAAAGCCCCTCTTTCTTTTCATGATTCAAGAAAACACTTCTTAATATCCTCTTCTGTTTCGCGTCATTATGGGGTGCCCCAACTAGTCCCCCTGTTTGACCTTCAAGAAAACATTGATGTAGTTTCCGGTTTGTAACAGTTGGGCATCTGGGCCAAAAGTAAAAGATAAACGCATACACTTTTTCGCTTCACAACTTCTGTCCTTGAATTTACCAAGTTTGAATTCTCCCCACAGTTTAACCACACAATCACTCCCTCAAATTGTGTATCTCATGCATCGTCGCCATTAGCCGTCCGAAGAGCTGCTCTTACTTTCGGACATTGTCCTCGAAAGAGGAAATGGCAACAAGAGGCGATGGTAATTAAATGCTTGGATGGCTCGATACCCCCAGTCCTTGGGCCTGTCGATGGTACCTGCAGAAACAAGTTGCGGGAAAGGCCTGTAACTCTTCCAAATATGAACAGCACTCAAGCAATGTGAAATACAGTCCTCTTACAGGTCGATTCGGGACTACTAATTTTCAAAGCACAATATCAACAGCTGACATTTTCATCAATCCCAGTTTTGCTTTTATGATTTATTTTCATTTGCAACTGCGACTTTTCTTGAGCTAGAATCTCGAGTTCTCCTATCCATTTCATTTAGCCCTAATCCCTTGCCTTTGCTATTTTGATATGTTCTCTTCAGCATTTCTCGCCCAAATTTAAGAATAGAACTTTAAAGTGGTTTAATTTTTCCATTAATCCCTATATGCAGCAAGGTATGAGACGG